GTAGAGTTTGTGATGTTGCATTCATGGTCGGAGAGAGGGTGTTGCTCCGGGTTTCACCCATAAAGGGTGTGATAAGGTTCGAAAAGAATGGCAAGTTGAGCCTTAGGTACATCGGGTCTTTTGAGATTCTTCAGAGAGTGGGTGAGGTGGCCTACAAGCTCGCATTACCACCTAGTTTATCAGCATTCCATCTGGTGTTCTATGTGTCCATGCTCTGGACGTATCACAATGATCCATCCCGTGTTAGAATTTAGTTCAGTCCAGTTGGACACGGATTTGACTTATGAGGAGGAGTCTGTGGCTATTCTAGCTCGGCAGGTCCGGCAGTTGAGGTCTAAGAGTTATCCTTCAAGTCGAGTGTAATGGAGAGTTCAGCCGGTCGAGGTAGCCACTTGGGAGTCTGAGTCGGACATGCAGAGTATATATCCACACCTTTTCACCAGTCCAGGTACTTTTATATGTCCGTTTGAGGACGAACTATTGTTTTAAAGGTGGAGAATGTGATGAACGGATAGGTCATCCAGAGTTTTAAACCTTAATTTTGTGTTTTAAAACCTCAAATAGCTTCTTTTAGCCTTCCTCGATTTGCATGCGCAGTCCGCCCTTTTTCCGGAAAGCGTTTATGTGAAAAATTGATTAAAATATAAATTCGTGCCTTAAAAATCTATTTGAGTTGACTTCGGTCAATGTTTTGAGAAAACGAACCCGGATCCGTATTTTGACGGTTCTGGTGAATCGGCATCGTGATTTGGGACTCGATCGTATGCCCGGAATCGAATTCGGAGGTTCCTAGCTCGAGTTATCGCAATTTGTTAAAACTTTGAAGTTTAAAGGTTTAAAGAACTCATAAATTTGACCGATATTTGACTTTATTCATACCGAGTCTGAATTTTGGTTCCGGAACTTGGTATAGGTCCATTACGATATTTATGACTTGTCTGCTAAATTTGGTGCAAAACAGAAGTGATTTGACGTGATTCGGACGTCCGGTTGTTAAAATAGAAATCCTTAAGTTTCATTAAAAATTTCATTTGATTTGGTGCTCGATTCATAGTTTTAGGTATTATTTTGGTATTTTTATCGCGTGAGTGAGTTCGTATGAGATTTTTGGACTTGTGTGCATGTTTGGTTTGGAGCCCCGAGGGCTCGGGTGAGTTTCAGATAGGCTACCAATGTTTCGAACTTAAAAAAATCTGGTTTTGAGCTTCAGCTGTCATCTCGTGTGTTGTGCTTCGCGATCGCGAAGGGGAATCTGGGACTGGGGAGGATTTATTCTACGTGAACTCGAGGGGATGGACGCGAACACGGAGCAGTAGGGGGTTTGCCCTTCGCGAACGCGCCCATACCTACACGAACTCATAAGACTTTAGGCCTGAGGGGTACTGGGTTGGTGCTATGCGAACACGGACCGGGGGACGCAAACGCGGTGGTCAAGGGGGAAGAACCATCGCGAACTTGGAGCACCTCACGAAGGCCATTCTAGTCGATGCCTTTCGCGATCGCGTCAGGACCTTCGCGAACGCGAAGAAGGCCTGGCGCCAGTGATTTAAAACAGTCCAAACAAGATTTCTTCCATTTTTCTTAAACTCTCCATTTGAGCTCGGTCTAGAGGCAATTTTGAAGGGAAAACTCAATACCAATTCATAGGTTTGCACACTTTAACTCATTTTCTTTCACTTCTAACATCACCCATTAATTTCTAGCCCTAATATTTATTCTTACATGGTAGAAAACTAGGGATTTAGGAAGAATTAGGGATTTTTGCAAATTCGGGATTTAGACCTTAATTCGAGGTCAGATTTCAAGACTAATTACATAATCGGACTCGGGGTAAATGGGTAAATGAATTTTGGTCCGAACCTCGGGTTTGACCAAGCGGGCCCGGGTTTTTTTTTGACCTTGTGGGAAAAGTGTAAGAATCTTATCTTTATGTATTGTAATTGATTCCCTTAGCATTATTTGACGTTATCGAGTCGATTGTGGTTGGATACGAGTGGTTTGGAGGCGGATTCTAGAGGAAAGGCCCCGGTAGAGCTCTGAATTGACTGAGGAGTGAGGTAAGTGTCGTGGTTAACCTTGACTTGAGGAATTAGGACTTGTTTGCTTAGTTGCTACATGTTTAAAATATCGGGTACAACGTATATGTGAGGTGACGAGTACTTATGCGTTGTTATTGGGTTAAAGCATATGGATGAGACTTGTTTATTGTAATTTACTTCCTTCTTTGATTATGATACTCATGCTTAGACTAGTTTATTACTTAATTGATCGTCTTTCCATATTTATGAACTATTTATGATAATTGAGCATTATTGGAAGTTGAGGTTCGGTATTGTGGAACTGGTGTTGACGTAAGGATTATTCTTGCTTATTCTTCCTCCCAAATGTTATATATATTTTGCTATATGGTAAGGGAGAGTGTTAAAGCACGAAGGGTGATATCGTACCGATTATTGTTTTATTTATTGATTTATATATAGTAAGGAAGAGAGTTAAAGCACGAAGGGTGATGTTGTGTCGTATTTATTGTTGCATGATGAAATTGAGAGTAAAAGCACGAAGGGTGATGTCTTGTCGTATTTATCATTTCATGGAGATATTGAGAGTAAAAGCACGAAGGGTGATATCGTGTCATTGTTATTGTTTCATGGTGAGGTTGAGGGTAAAAGCACGATGGGTGATATCGTACAGTCTTTATTTATTATGTTTTCTCTGTTTTCATTGGTTGAAGGTTTATTGACTATTTCGTGTTGTCATTTCCTGTTATAGTTACCGTATCTTGTACCTTTTTTTATGTCCCCTCCCAATCGTACATGTTAAATCTTTATTTGTTGTTATGTCGTACGTATATTTTCGGTTGTACAAGTTTAATTACGTAGTTGTCCTGTCATAGCCTCTTCACTATCTCATCAAGGTTAGGCTCGACATATACGGAGTACGGGTCGGTTGTACTCATATTATACTCTGCACTTCTTGTGCAGATTTTGGTACTGGTCCCAGCTGTCCATGAGGCGCATCAGCTCGGATTAGCTTATTTGGAGACTCGAGGTAGATCTGCTGGCGTCCGCAGACCTTGAAGTCCCCTTCCTCCACCTTATTTACCGTTCATCTCATTCGAGACAGTTGTATTTATTTCAGACTCTATTTGTAGAACCTCTAGAAGCTCGTGTACTTGTGACTCCAGATCCGGGTTGTACTAGATATTGGATTATTATGCTATTTCGTACTTTATTTTGGCTCTATTTCTATTTAATTGGTTTTACTTATTTGAATTGTTAAAAAAAAAAAACTTGCTCAAGGATTTCTCTAACGTTGGCTTGCTTAGCAAGTGAAATGTTAGGCGTCATCACGGTCCCGAAGGTGAAAATTTCGGGTCGTGACAAGTACATACTAATATTATCTAACTTAACTAAATTTATCATTTATGCAAGTTCAGATGACGTCCAATTAATTTGAATTCAAGTATTATACTAATGTAATAACATTGACCTCTGGCATTTAGAGGGTTGTTTTATTTTTTCATATTAATTGCTTTATATCAATTCTTTATAACTTCCGGCACACATATATATGTGTGTATATATAAAAATTATATGTTATTTATTCATATAAATAATTGACTAAACACTTACGCGCTACTATTAACGTGCAACGTACGTTCGTAGAAACTAGTATATATATATATATATATATATATATAATTTTATACACTTTTGCGGTTACCAAATATAAATAATTTTGGCACGGGATAAAAGTGATATTTGCCCGTAGAAACACTATACAATGGGACATCAACTCTAGTAGTTGAACTCTATGCAGCATATTAGAAAAAAAAACTCTATGCAGCAAAGGAATCAAACCATTTTTGGGTAAGGAGTTGGATGTTATTTAAAAGACAATTCACATGTAAAAATTCTATTAGCAAGAAGCAAAGTATTTTGCAGACACTGATGTTATTCTCGAAGCTATTCAAATACGAAGCAACACTCAGAAACATGAAGTCATTCAAGTTATACTTGTTAAGAAAATTAACTCATTAAACATCCAATTTAAGTATTTTAAAAGTTTATATGACTTTGACATTAAAATCTTTGCCCTTTTTGAATGAAGGGGTTTAGTCTAGTGCACTTCAAATTTATAGACCAGCAATCCCTTTGCATCTGAATAAAGTTTGCAACAGAATAAATATACATTAGTTATCTCTTTGGATATATTATACTAAAGAAAATCTATCCTCAAACCTAGACATCCATATTCAAACGTACAATATACAATAAATCATTTCTTAGTCTCAAATTTTGTTTACTTTAAAAGTTCTAAATAAACTTATCGTTTAGTGTCTTATGTTGTATAAAATATTCTTCTGTTCAAAAATATTTGTTACCTACCTGAGAGTCCAAATAAAAAACTTTGACAATTCTGAATGTTTTCTCTTAAAAATTATGCCCGCCCGTAGGGCTGGCCTGCTTCCCGCAAAAAAAAGAAATGCTCACTAGCTAGCTGGCCTAGTGGGGCCCTATCCGGAGATATACTAAAAACTATACCTTTCGAGCCGAACACAATGCTCGCCTTCCAAATATAAAAGGGCCTTCTCACCTCTTATGAATCGTCCGACGAAAAAGACTTTCTGAATAGTTAAAATATGAAGTAGCTTTTAAATATCGATTTTTTTTTTAATTTTACCTATTTAGTCACTGAAGTTGATTAATTCAACCAAGCATAAGATCATCAAAAGTTGTGCTTGAATAGATATGATATGTCTATCCTATATTAGACATCTTAAAGTCGAGCATTGAAAATGAATTGTTTTGGTAAAAAATATTTTCCCTATGTGGATTCAAGTGGCGCGACGACTTAGCCGCGGCCCTAATGCTGGTATCGAACACCAAGTTTAAAATAAAATAATAACCATCCACAATTATAGAAAATTTTGGTTGACATTACATCATTTATCAAAGTTTGGGGGTCAAATTTCATATTTATCTACTTAACATTTCCACTTGCAGCACGTGCAAAAATCTCTGATAGAACCTCGACCTTTCTTTGATAGAATCACTGAGAAATTCCCGTTCTCCGATTGCCGCCTCTCCGACATCCATCGCCGGCGGCAAGTTTCCCGGTTCGCCACCTTCATCATCACCTAGGTATTCACCTTCACGCTCTCAAAAATCTAACTGGAATGACGTAAATATCATTCTTTATTGACCTTACTCACCATCCCTACACAAGCATATAATATATTAATATTTAGTTTATAAAATGATGATTAGAAAGCAATCATCTAACATCTGTGTTTGTTTTCAAGCACCCTTTAACCCCCAGAAAGCAATTTTTTTGGAATATTTGTGTACAACAATACAAGCTAGAGGTACAACTACTAGTACAGGTTGTTCAAAAAATGTTCAAGAGTTGAATGAGAAGTGTTGGCTTTATAAAAATGTTAACTTTCATTGTTTTGGAATACCATTTAACCCCCCAAAAGCAATATTTGTGAAAAACGTGTATACAACAGTACCAGCTGGAGGTACAGCTGCTACTGCAGGTTGTTCACATGTTCAAGAATTGGATGAAAAGTTAAAGTGGCTTTGCGAAAAGCTTAATTCGCATTGTTTCCGAGTAGCTCTTAACCCACCAAAAGCGAGTTTTGTGAAATATTATTGTGCAAAAGCAGTTACAGAACATACTACAATGGATGTACACGCATTGGATGCAGAGTTGAAGGGTCTTTGTGAAAAGCCAAATCCTCAGTATGTTAATGCTTATAAACTTTTTAACGACGCGGTTAATTCGGGTCGAATACCTTCTGAGTTTACTTGCAATTTTCTTGTTGCAACAATGGCAAAGAATAAGGAGTACAGCTTGGCTTTTAAGGTGTATGGTAGGATGAGAGAGGTGGGGATATCCCCGTGGTTTTTGTCGTTGGCTGCTTTGACTGAATGTTTAGTGCATGTTCAAAGACCAAAATTGGCGATTTCTGTGTTGGGGTTGATTTTGAAGTATGGTTTCAGGGTTAATGATTACCTTGTTAATATTGTATTGAAAGGATTGTGTGAAAATGGTATGGCTATTAAGGCTGTAGAAGTTTTTCAGTGTTTATATATGAAAGAAGTGACTCCTAATGTCGTTAGCTTAAACACCCTTATGAAAGGACTTTGCAGAGAGAGGAAATTGGAGGCGGCTTTAGATTTGAGGAGTAGAATGGAAAAGGTGAATGTAGCTCCCAATATGATTACTTATTCCATTTTGATAGATGGTCTTTGCTCAGAGAGAAGGTTGGATGAAGCTATGGGATTGCTGGAGGAGATGACAACTAAGGGTTTGAAAGCTGATGTTGTAGTGTATAGTTCACTCATAAATGGACTTTGCAACAAAGGATGTGTTGATAGAGGGAAAGAGCTCTTGAATGAGATGTTGAAGGAAGGAATTTCGCCAAATGTGGTTACTTACTCTTGTTTATTACATGGCTATTGTAAGCAGGGCCAATTAAAAGAAGCAACTATGTTATATGATGATATGCTGAAGCGCAAAATCCAGCCGGACGTCATTACATTTATCAGTATGATTAGCGGGCTTTGCAAAGGTGGGAGGGCTGTGAAAGCAGTGGAATTGTTTAAATTGACGGTGGAGAAGGGTGAAGAGCCTGGAAACATAGCTTACAATATTCTTCTGCGTGGACTTTGCAAGGAAGGGTTACTTTCTGATGCTTTTAACATTCTGCAGCAGATGATAGAAAAGGGCAAGAAGCCTGACTTGATTACTTACAATACACTGGTGAGAGGACTTTGTGAAAATGGGAAGGTGGACGATGCCTTGACACTTTTTAATTCAATGTTAGCTGATGAGACATATGTTCAGCCAGACATTACGACAATGAATGTACTGATTCAAGTGCTTTGTGAAGGAGGACATCTAAGTAATGCTGCCAAAATTCATGAGAAGATGGTTGCTAACAAGACACTGGTTGACATGAGAACTTTTACTGTGCTTATTGGAGCTTACATAAAAGCAGACAATGTTGTTAAAGCTATGGAACTCTTGAAGCAGGCAAATGAATTGGGTTTTATTCCAGACTCATTGACCTATGGCACTATGGTTGATGGTTTTTGTGAGTTGAATGTACTAAATATCGCGAAAGGTTTGTTTCTTCGGATGAGAAACAATGGATATTGCCCAACCGTGATTGATTACAATATCTTGATGGAAAGCTTATGCAATGAGGGTAGCTTGGAACAAGCTAGGAGGTTGTTTCAAGAGATGTTAGATGGCAATTGTGAGCCAGATCTTGCGTCATACAATATTATCATTGATGGAACGCTCAAAGCAAAAAGCTTAAAATCTGCTAAAGAGTTACTTGTTCATATGCTTCATATGGGTTTGAATCCAAATGCTTTCACATATTCCATATTAATAAATAGGTTATCAAAACTAGGGCTGTTGGATGAGGCAAAGAATTTATATGAGAGGATGAATGCATCTGGCTTGACACCGGATAACTCTGTGTATAATTGTTTACTGAAAGGCTTTAGCTTGAATGGTCAAACTAGAGAAATTATTGATTTGCTTAACCAAATGGCTGTTAAGGGCATTGATCTGGACTCAAAACTCACTTCAACAATCTTGACGTGTCTTTGCAATATATCTGAAGATGTCAATGTGGCAGAGCTGTTGCCAAACTTCTCCAGAGAAAAATCAGAAGTATTTAGCATTCCATGCAGTGAATTGTTGAACAAGCTTCACAATAGTTTATCCAAGCTTCAGTTGGATTCTGCTCAGCAGGTACTATCTCAGAAAGCTCCTAGTGCTGTAGACGTAGCGATTCTCTTCACATTTTATAGTTATTAATTCTTTTTTAAAGTTTTTAGAGGACATCGGTATGTGTTGTTATTCCATGGATAGCCTCATGTTTCCCCTTAATATTTTTTCATTCTTGAAACAGTAGAAAGTTATCCTTGGTTACGCGGTTCATGCGATCATGGGAATAGGCTATTCTTTTGTAACTCCTTTTCGTTTTTTGGGTGATGTAACTCTATTATTTCTAAGTTCGAAACTTGGTGGATAATGGGTGCACACATCTACCTTTCACCACTTAAATACCAAACTTTGTTCACCCGTCAGGATTCAAACTCGTAATGTGCGCCTATCAGACATCCCACATTGTACTACCTTCTTGTTGAACCAATGCTTTAGGGGAAATAAATAGATCAAGTGATATATCATCTTCAGGCACTTGTCCCTCATGAGATGAACAGAAAATAACGTTTCCCTTTTTTCTTGCTTTTTCACGAACATAATAATCAACTGCCTGCTGAATCTCACTAGTCACTAGACCCTTTTATGCCTTGTCAAATACTCCTTTCAGTCACGGAAAGAAGAAATCTTTGAATCTAGTATATTGTTTCCCATCTAATGATTCTTCTTTTATTGAACTTTTCAGTGCCAATGATAAGCTTCAGGGATTGGGGTTCCTCCACAAGCAAAATTCTTATGCCTGCAAAGGTGTGTGAGCGAGAGGCTTCATGATAACATCTTACATACGGTATGTGACATACTCAAAGGTATTTATCCCTGGTTTTTCTTTCCGCGAATTTAGATTTTTATAGGTTTGTGTTTGTAGCTTAGTGTAATGTTTAATTAAGTTATCGTGCCGGCTCGCGAGTTGCTTCTAGCTGAATTTGCATGTTGTCTTTGGATCAATCCTAGCTAAAAGTCAATATAATCAAAGCATTGAAGTAATGGAGTGATGTGAATGAGAAGTTAATTGATGCAGCTATGTTGCCTTTGAAGAAAGAAGTGCACGACTTTTTCATGTATAGCAGCTATGCAGCTATTGTTTATCTCTGTTTTATGATTTATGTGTGCCATAATAGCAATTTTTGTCTTGCTGAAGCAAGTAAATTCAGTAATATTAGCTTCTTTTGCAGTTTTGGATGTGAATCACATCTGCAATCAACAGCAACGGGAATGATGGTTCCCCGCTTGATTTGCATTCATACCTCAAACTTGCTTCGGTTGTTAACTATCTGGAGTAGGAGAGCTGCTTATTTAGCAAAAGTAGCTCAATCAAAAGTTCTGAATAAACATCTGTATTCTCTTACCAGCTGGGGAGCGGACCTCCCCTGGACCCTGCGTGAAGGTGGGATACTTCGTGCATCGGGCTGCCTTTTTTTATTCTCTTTTCAGCTGCCTGACCTAGTCACTTGCCAGTGTAGATGATAAGCCACGTATCTTCCAGAAGAAGCAAAGAAATTTAGGAGAAGATAATTCCTGGAGCTTTCAGTTATTAGAAGTTTATTAGAAGGTATCTGTTTAGCAGTTTTATTATGGTTATTAGAAGTTATCTATCTTTATCCTAATAGGTTATGCAGTAGTTATGGTCAGCCTATTATATAAGTAATAGATCCGGTAATGTGTAGGTATCATTATCAGAATTAAACTACTTTATTCTGGAGCATTGTCCTCTCCATACGGACAACTTTATTGGTGTAGTTGTGTTTAAGATTCTTGCACAAACTATTGCCAATAATATTAACTTCTTTGTTCTATTTCTTCAATTATCTACTTCTGGTCACTATCAGTAGATCGTTTTTTACATGTGAGGTCATATCATGTCAGTCAAGAAGCTGCAAATAAGTTATCAGGTGATAATTGTATCTGATTAGATCAACTTCAAGAGATGAATTTAGCAGCTGGCAAGTCCAATATTGGAAGCTACCTCTGTATTGTGTCAAACTAAGTTGTGTTGACAATCAACTTCAAGGAGATGAATTTTACAGGTAAACATCTTCAGCTTATTGATCCAAGTTGAAGTTATTTATCAACTTCCTTGAATAATATATCTGCATTAGGTGAACTTTGGGTGTATCGACCTAAGTTCACATGGTTCATCACCTTCCTAGAGCTTTGCATCTGCGACGAGGAAGGAAGTGCTTTACTTTTGAGCGTTCATCTGGCTGCTGTGGACATCTCTGGCAACAAGGAAGCTGCTTCTAACGGGAACATTGAAACTTTGATGGACTGATATCCACAAATGCCCCGAACCATGATAATATGCGCAGAATGCTTGATAACAGTGTTCAGCTTAGTTCTTGATACTTGGTGTTTGGTGGTAAACAAGAGAAGAAATTTTATCATGAGAGATTTTATTAATGGACAGAGAGATTCACTTTAGATGTCGGAAAATTCTTGGTGGCTGGATGCTGCAAATCAAATGGCTGATGGCATAGACAAATCCAGGATTTAGAATCCATGATTTAAAGTCAATGAGTTAATAATGAGTGTGATCTTATTATGTGTATAAATTTTACATTTTCTTTTTGCTTATGTATACGTTGTTTGAATCGAAAATAATGAATTCAGTTGAACCCACAGGTCACTGCCATAATTCTGCTTTGGGCTGATAGAGTTGAGTGCAGCGTGGAAGTTGAACTCTTTTTCAAATCAAAACATATTAATGCAGACTGTTTCCAACCAATGTTCTCTGATTTTCAATACAGCTTAGAATGAAGTTAGCTAGGTTGTCTTGAAAATAAAAATTAAAGAATGAGAGAAAAAAGTAAATAATGTCTTTTCATTTTCCATATGCATAAAACGAGCAATTCCTGTGATTGTGATTATTGTTTTTGGAGAATATGGCAAAATTTAAGAGAAATAAAGATAGTCTCTCTCTCATTTTTCTTACATTTTATTTAAATTTTGAATCTCTAATGACTCAACTTATATGAGAACAAATAATTTTTCACATGCTTAACTGCTTAGCTCCCTGTTAACTTAGTTTATATATATATATATATATATATATATATATATATATATTTATATTTTTTTTAAAAAAGAAAAGAAGCAGGTGAAATTAAATGTTGTTGGGTCATAATTTATTTGTAGTGAAATTAATAGCTTAGAGTTGCATTTAATGCTTGCTTACCTAGAATCCTCATGAATTATGTAAATCACTTGTGATTTTATATAGATAGATGATAATCGAATGCTTAATTTCACTAAAAATCTGAAAAGGCGGTTTAATTTTTCGTAAAGTAGCCAAACACCCTTTAATTCAAATTAAAACATGCCCATTTTCGTAACATAAAAATTTTCAAGTGAAAGCGTTAGGCCATAGAATATCATTTTAGTATTTGCAAATTTCGAATTTCAACTTTTGCAAATATAATTTGGTTATGTTTAAATGTTAAAATTCAATATTTGAACTTCCAATGAAATATCTCCCTCTCTTGTTATATCATATTTTCTCACCTTTAAATAATGCAAGGCAAATGTTGAACGAACATTATTGTGTCGAAAGTCAACCCAAAAGGAAAATAAATAGGTTTGTTTGGTTTTGTTAAAGAAAAAGTTATTTTTATAAGTTCCAAATCAAATTTGGAATAAATGAAAGCCAACGACTTTATATCTCATTTAATGTTCAAAATATTGGATGGAGATTTTGTTGAAGGTCCATATACATCCCAAGTGGTGTTCTCTTAATTGTTCTGGGAGACTATTTTATCACCTTAACGTAATAAAAAAATTATATTACATTAAATGTAAAAAATATTACGACACTAGATAATTTGAAATAAACAAAGTGTCTTATAGTTACAAAATACTTTGGGCTTAATAGCAACAAGTTAATTAGTTGAGCTAGTTCAGGAATTGATGGAATATCGTAGCGTCAATAAAAGATAATAGAAGTGATTGGAAGGATGTGCTTTCTCTTTCGTATGTTGTAAAGGAAAGTAAAAAATCGTTATAGTTCTAAAATGCTCGTTTGACTTTGATGTCGTTCGTAAATTTACGAAGATCATTTTGATTGTTGCCTGCGATAAAATGACGATATACAATCAAATAAAATCAACGATAAGATTACTATATAAATGAAACTTTTAAAGTTACAAAAAATGCACATATTACCCATCTAGAGAGTACGACAATATTAAATAGAGTCACAATATTACGCCAAATCTTAACGGTTTAGACGACTTTAAAACTCAACTACATAAATACAAATTTTTCAAAGTTTAACTAACAATCAACTTTTCGATGCATCTCTAATTAGTTACATTTTAATTATTTACCAGGTACACAATTACACCAACAATAATATCATTTATACTCGACCTTTCAAGCATTATTATACACCAACTTAATAATATCTTTGTTTTGTGGCCAGATGGATAGACAATAGATTATGGTCTCGATGTCTTAGAAAAATATGAGGAGAAAAAAAGGGTGTTTAATGTCGGTGGAAAATAGGAAAAAAAAAGCACCAAAATAGTACATTAATTATAATTTTATACATAATAGTAGTTGTCCTAGTAACAGAGTAATATGTACACACTGAAAAAGGGATCTGTACAAACACATCTTTTTATTTTTTTCTCACCTCTCTATCTTCCTCACTATAAATACATATTTTTCACTTTCTTGATCTCCCTTTTTCTCTCTCTATATCTCAAGAAAATTACTCTTAACTGGACCTTTTTTTCACTCAATCAACTTTCAAGAAAGCTGCCTTTTGGTTAGTTACTTTTTATTTCTTGATGTTTATGGTTTTATCTCTTAACCTATGTGAAGATTGCTGCTTATTTTTATGTGGGGTTTGTTGTTTTGTGATGCTTTGTGGTTTTTGTATTTGGGTTTTGTGCATTAGCTTAAAAAGATTGAATCTTGACTTGGGGTTGACTTGTATGATGAGTTTTTTCAGGGTGGTTTGAAATTGGTGTGTGTTGACTCAATTGAAAAAAAGTGGAGCTTTTGGGAGAAAGTTTGTAGCTTTGGGATTTGTATCAAGTGTTTGGATTGACTCAGATTTGAATCTATGCTAAAGGTACTTTTTTTTTGGGTTTATGCTCTTTTTTCTTGATTCCATTTTTGGTCTTTGCTTTACTTGTGATGGAGCTGAAATATGATGTCTATGATTCTTGTTTTATGGGTATTTTACCTTTTTGATGGATAGTGAAGTAGCTGTGTTTTTGGAATTGCTGTCCACATCTTTGAGTTGTGGATTGCTAATTGCATAGACTATTGTGTACTTTGTAGTTTCTTTGAGTTGTGGATAGCATAATCAATGGACTGTTGTATAACTTTTGGTGTGTACACCTGGAATTGTGTTGCAAGTTTTCAAACTTATCTTTGTTGTTTCCAGTTTAATTACAAGGATATACTTTTAAGAACCAGGATATGATTTTGTATTGAGAAACTTGCTTTTGGACCCAAATGCAGATCTTTTAAGCTGCAGAACATGTGGTGGTTGTGATACGGACACAAAGTTGCCGTTAGAGCTCTAAAGTAGAGGGGTTGTAGGATGGGCTGTGAATGTTCAAAACTCGCCTCGTGTTGCTGGGATGGACAGAATGGTCCCGTTCACGAGGCTAAGAATCCTGGTATGTAAAGCTTTTTTTTTTTGTGGGTATTTTTCTATCACTATCCGAGGACAGTTGAATTCAGAATTATAATTTTGTCGGATTTCCTTCTTCTAATAGATGACGAGGAAAAAGATGAAGTTAGTGATTTGCCTACATTCCGTGAGTTTACTCTTGAACAGCTGAGAATAGCTACTTCTGGATTTGCCGTAGAGAATATAGTTTCCGAACACGGTGAAAAAGCTCCAAATGTTGTTTATAAGGGAAAGTTAGAGAACCAGAGGAGGGTTGCTGTCAAACGCTTTAATAGATCTGCATGGCCTGATTCCCGACAGTTCTTAGTAAGTTATTCTAAAGAGGATTTATGTAATACCATCTGGTAATTAAGTTTCTATATGCATTCCAGTAGCGAGGATATTTAGTGTTTCTTATATAAGACAACCGAGCCATAAATGGGAAATTGAAGTATGACGCTTTACACGTCTTATTCTTTGTCCTTAGTGCATGCACTTTTTTCGATGTATTAATAGCTCGAAGCTAAGAATCTTGTTTTTTTCCTACTGACAAGCACTTTACTTTGTTTAAGCAATAGACTTTTAACTTCCTTTTCTTTATCCTTCAAATTGAGAACTTCAGGAAGAAGCAAGATCGGTTGGTTCTCTCCGCAACAGCAGGTTAGCAAATCTTCTTGGTTGTTGTTGCGAGGGTGATGAGAGGTTGCTTGTGGCAGAATTTATGCCCAATGAGACACTTGCAAAACATCTTTTTCACTGTAAGTTCAATTATATTTGTACTTTTGTTTTCCATCCTAGTCCTGGAATTTAGGGCTTGATTGATTCCTGAAGTCTCTTTTTGGTGTAAATATTGTTGTTTGCTTTGTTAATTATCCTCCTATCACATCACCTCCACAATACCTTTTCAAGTCATCCTATTTTAGTTTCGTTCGTTACATTTCCACTTACCGTGCTATTTTATGGGTAGATCTTGCTTAGATATCTTAATTGTCTGTATATAGGTGCCACAATCTCATCTAATCTCATTTTAGTTTTTTTTATGGGGGATATAAACTTGCATTTGCCTATGTTCCTTCTTATTCTTATCCATAAAACGCTTTATCTCTAAAGTGATCTTCATAGTTTGAACTATTGGTTGACTTGCACTAGTTTCATTAATTAACAAGAATATCATTTGCCAAATAACTTGCACAATAAAAACTCATCTTGTATACTATTGGTTAGCTTATCTATAAGTTGGCTAAACGAGTAGACTCATGCCAGATTTTTGTGCAAGCCCATAGTATATAGGGAGAATCTTTCTCTGTTTTCAAATTTGTGGCTGGTCTTTCATATTTATCATTTTTTATATGATATTCTTCTCAATCATCCGAAAAGGGGTAATCTATCCTGCGGGGGTTTGGGGGGGGGGGGGGGGG